GCTTCCGGTCCCCGGGCCCGCCCTCTCCGCCCAGGACACGCTCCTTAAAGGGACCGCGACGCTCCAGTCCCCGCAGGGGGTCAGCGCAAAACACAGAAGCGCCGTCTGTGATCCTCTTTTCCTCCCGACCTCTCCGTCTCGCAACTTCGGAGTACGAGCCCTAGAAATGTTTGCAAACCGCACGCTGGGTGGTTGCAGGTGCGTCCAGCGAGCTGTCCAGCCCCCGGCGTGCGTCCCGGGTCCTTGAACCCCAGGCTACGCTGACTCAGTGGCGGTGCTTAGACCCCAGGGAATGGCTTATGCATTTAACTCAGGCTCATGGATGGAGCCCGATCAGTGGTTCTTGAATTGAATCCAGTGTTTATTGGGTCATAATAATACGTGTTCACCTAAGTGGTCGTTCTGGTTTCTGGGTAGTGGTCCTATTCTCCCCCGCTAATTCCTGGGAGAGCAGGGGGAGCACGTCCCTGTGAGATAGCTCTGTGGTTAACTCAGCCTGTCCACTGAGTTCGATCCCTGGAACCCACACGGTGGAAGGCGGTCACTGTGTGTCGTGTGTGCCCCTCACATGTAAGATAAATGTGATTTAAAAAAAAAAAAAAAAAACTGTAGCAAGGGCCACGGGAGCAATGAGGAGCAGCAAGTGGAACCATAGGACCAAGCTACTTTGAAATAAGGGTCTTGGGAGAGAGGCCAAATAAAGAAAGCTCCAAAGTAGAAAAGACTTTTGATGTGCGTGTGTGTGTGTGTGTGTGTGTGTGTGTGTGTGTGTGTGTGTACGTTGGTGTTTAATCTTGAATAACCAGAGGAAGCTCAGACAGCCCTGGAGTTGGTATGGGAGGGGAGAGTGCGGGTGGGGCAATGGCTCAATTAAAAGTGTATTGTTCTTTCAGAGGTCTGGGTTCAGTTCCCAGTACCCTGGTCTAACAACTCTCAAAACCCTGTAACTCCAACTCCAGGGACTCTAACGCCCTCTTCTGGCCACACACCCACACACACACACACACCCACACACACACACACACACACACACACACGCCACCTAAATCTTAAAATTAAAATTAAAAAAAAGAAGAGGTTGGGCATAGGAGCACAGCACTCAGGAGTTAGAGGCAGGCAGGAGTTAGAGTTCAAGGCCAGCCTGATCTACATGGGGAGCTCCAGGCCAGCCAGGGCACAGGGGGTGCTGAAAGAGAAAACTCAGCTCCATTCCCAGCACCCGAATGGCTGCTCACAACTGTCTGGAATACTCCAATTCCGAGGGGATCCAAAATCTTCTACTGAGCTCTGCAAGTGATGCAGAGATATGCTTGCAGACAACACACCCATACACATAAAATAGTAGTTTAAAAAAGAAGCAAGCTGGGTTGTGTGGTGGTGGTGCACATCTTTGATCCCAGCACTCCGGAGACAGAGACAGGTGGATCTCTGTGATTTCAAAGCCAGCATGGTCTACAGAGCGAGAGTTCTGGGTCAGGCTCCAAAGCTACAGAGAAACCCCTGCCTAAAAACAAAAACAAAAATAAAAACAAAAACAAAAAACAAGAAGCAAGCTGTTTGTATGCTTAGCCCCACACCTAATTAGCAAACATTGTCACTTTTATCATCTAAATAAAAGCAGAAGTGGTTCTGTTTCTCCTGAGTTATACAACAGGCATGGAAGATGATCTCAGCAGTATTATCACTGTTACAATTATTTTGAGCAAGGTCTTACTCCATAACCCAGGCTGGTCTGGATCTCATTACAGAGCCAAGATGGCCTTGAACTTGAGGCAATCCTTTTTCCTCAGCTTCCCAAGTGCTTGGCCTAAAGCAACACACCAAGCAATTATTTCGTTTGTTGTTTGTTTGTTTTTTCAAGACAGAGTTTCTCTGTGTAACAGCCCTGAATGTCCTAGAATCAGCTCTGTAGACCAGGCTGGCCTCAAACTCAGACATCTGCTTGCTTCTTCCTCTCAAGCACTGGGATTCCAGAACAGGTTACAAAGCTACACAGAGAAACCCTATCTTGAAAAAAAAATTCAAAAAAAAAATTTAATGCCCATATCTACCCCACCAACCCTCAAAAATAAGTAAAATAAAATCTTAACCAACTCCCAGCATGGGAGTGGGCACCTATGTGGCCTCCTAGGAATTTACCTATGACAGCTACCTCAAACACTAGTGTCTATCATAATAACCACCTAGAGGGTAGCCCCACCCTCAGCCCTGTCTCTCTAAACCTAGGAATGGGGCAGAAGTGACATTGTAGAAGGGGAGGATTGATGGAAGGAGGGAGACATTTAAATGCAGTTTCAGAGTTCAGCAAGGGCCATGAGAGCAATGAAGATTCAGTGCTACACTGGAGAGGAAATAAAGGCCAGACCATGTCTCCCAGCAGAACTCTGGCTGACCTCAGCAACAGCTACAGGCTTACAAGGAAAACTTACCTTGTTCAGATTGCCAGCTGCCCTGGTTTCACCCTTTCAACTCAGAACCAGCTGCAGACAGCCAAACAGTCTCATAACATGCCTATGATGTTTTGGGTTTTTTTAAAGATTTTATTTAAAAACTTGGGGGGGGACGGGACTGGAAAGATAGCTCAGTGGCTAAGAACACTGGCAATTCTCCCAGAGGCCCTGAGTTCAATTCCCAGCAACCACATGGATCACAGCCGTCTATAGTGGCATCTGATGCCTTGTTCTGGGCTGCAGGCTCTATATGTAGTTAGAGCACCATACATAAAAAAATAAATGTCTAAAAACTTTCTTCGTACAATATACTTTGATCACATTTTTTCCTCTCCCCCAACTCATCCAGATCCTCCCCACCTCCCTACCCACCCAACTTTACCACCCCCAGCTCATCCTGCTCTCTCTCTCTCAAAAAAGAAAAAATTAAACAAACTAAAAAAGTAAAAATCTATAATACAAAAAATAAAACAAAAAGTGCACCAAAAAATACAGAGTGTTTTCTTGTGTTGGCCAACTGCTTCTGGGCATGGGGCCTGCCCTGAAATGAGGTTGAAATATCCACTCACACTCTGTTGCAGAAAACTCATCTTCAGGCCGGGTGGTGGTGGCGCATGCTTTTAACCCCAGCACTCAGGAGGCGGAGGCAGGCGGATCTCTGTGAGTTCGAGGCCAGCCTGGTCTACAGAGCGAGTTCCAGGACAGCCAGACTGTTAAACAGAGAAACTCTGTCTTGAAACCAAACCAAACAAAACCGATTTTCCTGTTCCCAGCAGGTATCAGTCGCAAATACCTTCTTGGTTAGAGGTGGGACTTTGTGTCTGCCGTGATAAAGTGCATGGGGGACCTTGGCAAATTCCACAGCAGGCAAAGGTGACCAAGGCGGGGGACAAACACGCCAGGCAGACAGAGCTTAGTGAGAAGTTTTATTAGAAAGGGGAGGGAAGGGGAAGGAAAGAGAAAAGTGGGGAAGAGACACAGAGACAGAGAGAGGACAGAAGAGAAGAGGGAGACAGGGAAAGTCCTGTCTGCCCCAGGGGAGCAGCAGGAAAGAGAGCGTAAGTGGGCGGGGTCTGTCTTTTAAAGGTGTCCTTTGCACCTGGGCTGACCAGGGTACTACCTGAGTGCATTCTGCCAGGTGACAGGGGCGGGCCAGCATCATGCCTGAGTCCTTACAGCGTCCACTTCCCCTTCTTAGCGCTGGAATTTTGTCTGGTTTGAATCTGTGGATCTTGCGTGTGCTGTGCGTTCAAACGTGCATCACTCCTCTGGGGCTGAAGGACTCAGTTTCCTGGGAGTCAGCGCCGCCTCTAACTACAGGAATCTCTAGTCTCCTCTTCTGCAGTCAGGTCATGTCTGTGGTGGACTGTCTTGATTATTAATTGATGCAGGAAGGCCCAGCCCATTGTGGGTGGCACCATTCCCCAGGCAGGGGATCCTGAACTACAGAAGACAGGAGAAAGCCAAATGAGAGCAAGTTCATGTGATGTGACTAACTGTTTGAGTTCCTGCCTTGACATCTGATCAAATGATGGGTGGTAACTTGGAATATAAACCAAAATAGTCAGGAATGGTGGTGCACGCCTTTAATCCCAGCACTTGGGAAACAGAAGTAGATGGATCTCTGTGAGTTCAAGACCAGTCTGGTCTACAAGAGCTAGTTCCCAAGCCACAGAGAAACCCTGTCTAAACCCCCCCACCAAAAAAAATTCACTTTTAAAAGTAAGCAAATTTATAAACCAAAATAACCCATTCCTTCCTAAATTGTTTGTCATCTGGATGTCTTATCACAGCAACAGAAATGAAAACTAGAACACCACCTCTTCCTTTACCACCACCCTCAACAGTGCCTAGCGGCTGGCTTCCTTCCTCTGTAGGTGAGTGAACAGGCCATTTGTCCTCGTTTGGGTAACCTCCACTGATTTCCAGATTCTTCTCAAGAGCAAAAGCCAACAAACTATCCAGGTCTTGGTAGTGTCCCCGCTGGCGTGGTTCAGTCTACCTCCACTAGGTGGCACTACTCACTTTGCAGTGCAGCCAAGCTTCCCGTAGGGTTCCAGACCTGTCTAGATGTCTCTTTGCACAGGAACCTATCGTTTTAGCATCTCCTTTGGAATAAGTTTACATGGACAATGTGAGACAGAGCATATCCTGTGCCTTGAAAAAGGAGGAGGAGGCTTGTTCTCTCTCTCTCTCTCTCTCTCTCTCTCTCTCTCTCTCTCTCTCTCTGTGTGTGTGTGTGTGTGTGTGTATATATGTATGTATGTATGTATGTATTTTGCTTGCATGCATAGCTATGCTTCGCATGCATGCATTGTGGAAATCAAAAGGCCAGTGGATCCCTGGGACTGAAGTTACAGTGGGATGCTTGCTATGTAGGTGCTGGGAACTGAACCCAAGTTCTCTGGAAGAGCAGCCAGTGCTCTTA